AAAGAGTGATTAGATTTAATCTGTTGCTTTAGTGGGGAATGGCCATGCTTTTGTGTATATGTTGTGTGTGCATTGGAAGGGGGTGTATTTGAATAAGTCTTTACAGATACACTTTTGCTGTCTGTTTTCACTGGCTTTTGTTTATGGTAGTTTGACTTCTTGTGTGCTTTTGATATTTGACTGTGAGCCCCATATTCTGTGGAAATTTATCTGTAGGAACTATTTGAGGCCTAGGATTGAAGCTCTGTTCTTTCAGGGAAGATCTGCTTTTGCTTCTGCCAACCACCTGGGGATACGTCAGCCCAAGTCCATTTTATACCTTGTCCTTACTTGTGGGATTTTTGGACCAAAGTATTGTGTGAATTAGGATTACAGAACTGCAGGAGATCCAATCTGTTGTTACAGAATCTCATTGTGGATTTTTTCCCTCTTATAGCTGTATCAAGATTTATGTGGTAAAAAGTTGTTACTGAATTGTAAAATCAAAGCTTGTGATCATCAGGTTTTGGCACATACCCTTAGGAAAAAAAGCCAACTTCAGTAGGTACACATACATTCCTGGATTCCCACTTTCAGTTACTTTTTGGCCCTGTGAAATTTAACATTCTTGCTAGTTCTTAGATTTAGAAACATTTTAAAATAAATATTTCACATAGTCTGTTTACTTGTCTTTATTTATTTATTTGAGACAGAGGCTCACTTTGCCGCCCAGGCTGGAGTGTAGTGGTGTGACCTCGGCTCACTGCAACCTCCCCTTCCTGGGTTCAAGCAATTCTCATGTCTCAGCCTCCCAAGTAGCTGGGATTACAGGTGCATGCCACTATGCCCGGCTAATTTTTGTATTTTTAGTAGAGATGGGGTTTCCCCATGTTGGCTAGGCTGGTCTTGAGCTCCTGACCCAAGTGATCCACTCACCTTGGCCTCCGGAGGTGCTGGGATTACAGGTGTGAGCCATTGCACCCAGCCTACTTGTCTTTAATTGGTCAGTCAGGGTGCCAAAAACTGAATTCCATCTATTTAGTGTAGAGAACTCCTGGTACCTTGTAAGATAGGAATACTTTATTGTTGTCAGCTTAGTGACCATCTTTTGGTGGGGTAGGGAGATGATATAGGAGAGAACCCTGTATTAGAAGGTTGATGTGTAAATAACCTTTTGTGTCTCTTTCAATTATAAAAGTATATAGTTTTAGCTAAAGTAATCATTTTTTGCTTCTCTTGGGAATTTACCATTTTGAACTAGACGAATATTATTCAGTGACATTTAAATCTGTTTCCTCTAAAAATAGAAGTTGTGAATATCTGTCAGTTATTAGAAAACACTGAATTTACACTAGAAGTCATCCTAATCCACCATGTGGCTTTGAAAGCACGTTCTTAATCTGAACATGTTGAACAAATTAGATTGGCACTTTAGCCCTCACTGCAATGTAAACACAAATGGAATATTTGTAGATGGTTGATGTTCTTTGACAGATGTTGCATTTTGGAAGCAGAAATCTGTTAAGATGCTCTAGGATTTAAATTTTTTCTGTCAAGGACTTAGTATAAAGCCCGTTTTCCTCTTCTTCTATCTGACTTTGTCTCATCATTCAAACTCCACCTTGGTCATCTAGTTTTCTTCCTCATCGTGTCTCTCAGTGAATGAACCATTAGATGAGACCTGCTGGTTTGTGGACCTTTTCCTGTCTTCATCAGTCTGAGTTCTCTTGGCTTTGAGAAACAAAAAATTTAGATTGCTTGATAAAAAGTGTGTTTGAAAAACAGAGCAGTCAGCTTTCTATTTACTAGGTCAGGAACTCTTATGCCAGCTCAATAATAACTGTTTTATCTGACTAAAAATAACTTCCCATTAAACATTAAGCAGCTTCCCATAGCGCTGTCTCTAGACTCAAAGGCAAACACAGGAACTTACAAGTTTATATGTACTGTGCCCCAGTAAATGCACATTTACAGGACTCCACACAGCACTAAGAATTATTACCTACCAATAAGGGAGAGCATTTTGAAAGCCCATGTTTCCTTGGAACATATACTATTATAACAGATATGATAGAGGTACATATAGAGACTTCAAGATTTTTTTCTGTGCATTACCAGCATTTTCTCTCTGTTTGTATGCTTGTCTGAATCATGAGTCTAGTAAAAGAGTAGAATCAGAAAGAACTTTTCCCTCTCAGTGTTATATAAATGGTGGCTGGCCACTTGGTGAGCCCACTCCATTGACTGTTCCAGTCCATGGGTGGATTACCAAGTGAACCAGGCTCCTTAGATTAAGGTAGCAGCTCTCAACATTTTATAATACTTTCAGGACCCAGTTAAAGACTCTTAAAAACAACTAAGGACTCAATAGCTTATATATTTTAATTCATTTACAGGAGCTTATATATTCATTTATAATAATTTATGTATTCATATCCAATAGCTTATGTATTCACTTACAAATAATAATGAGCACATTACATATTAGCATCAGAGCAATGATATCACATGTCATATAACATCTGGAAGATTTCACTGTATAATCGTGAGAATGAGAGTGAAAAGGCAAATAACATCTTAGTATTATTATGAAAAGGTATTTGGCCTCTGAGACCTTCTGACAGGGTTTTGAGAGAGGCATATGGCTCAAAATTGAGACTTTGATAGATAGCTATCTTGGAAATAATCTTTCCACATATCAAGATAGCTGCTGGTTTTCCTGCAAGAAGAACTCTTGTAAGTGAAGTTTGAAGGTCATAGTTTTAAAACAAAGCTGTATGTGTGCCCCATACACTAATACGAGAGCATGGAAGCTGGGTGGGGAAATGCAATTTTTATTTTCTTAGGACTTTGGCCATAAAAGCAGTTTATGAGTAAGAAAGCTTGCTAAGAGTCAGGCATTACCCAATCCATGCCAAAGCTGCAGAACAGGATTGAATGAGTTTACTCAGCCCCCGCACACTGGAGGAAGTCTGGAAGGTGAGTGCTACGTGAGTCCACTGGAGCCTGCCTGCCCAAGTCTCAGTCTCAAAGCCTGACAGGCATCTGGAGGAGGTCAGGATACTCAAGCATAATCCTGACATCACACCTAGAGACATACTGTATGGGAAATTAGTTCTGTTTCAGATATCAGAAAAGCACGAACAGAAGGCTTATGTAATTCGGCTAGTAAAGCACAATGCTCTGAGAATATGCTTATAACACTTTGGAAGTTACAGTCAAGGAATCTAACCTGGATATTAAAACTCAAAGCTAAAATTAGCTATATAAAAAGCTATTAAATACATAACATACAAAAGTGGCCAAATAAATAGCATAGTTCAGGTCATCCAATCAAAGTAGAGGAGATACAGTTAATTGTAATTCTGTTTCTGGTAAGTGATTTAGAGTAGGGGTGGTATCTTCCTCCACGCTCTTTTAATACTCTCAAATGATTTTCAGAAATAGTTTGTCCTTGTCTGTACTACAAGTTGTGAATATCTTGTTGTGTCCAAAATTAATTTTAAAAAGTTAATTCCAATTCCCAGAAATCCTGAAAGCTAAAATAATATTGACATTTTACATAGTCCCAGGTTTCAAGGCTAAATGTGTTGTAATACTAAATGCTCAGTTTTTCTGTTTCCTTAATGGCCTACCAGCCCATGAGATAGAAAATGATGTTTCTTACCATTTTATGCAGCTATATCCTGCTGGTTGTTTTGTAACTCCAAAGTTGTTAAGTAGCAGAAGAACTCATCTTCCATTAATAATACTGCTGAATTATTCAGAGAAATCCTTAACTAGAATAAATGGTTATGGCCATCCAATTTCTCCTCCTTTTCACTTTCCCATTTCTTTTTCCTGTGGGTAAATATCTCAAACTTTCAAGCCTACAATCACTGTTACAACATGCAGGGAAAGTTGAATATCCAGATAGTTTTTGTTGCTCCCTCAAAACCCTGTCAGAAGGTCTCAGAGGCCAAATACCTTTTCATAATAATACCAAGATGTTATTTGCCTTTTCACTCTCATTCTCATGATTATACAGTGAAATCTTCCAGATGTTATATGACATGTGATATCATTGCTCTGATGCTAATATGTAATCAATGATTAGCTTGGAATTGGGGTACTTACTATAAGAAAGGAGATGTTTTATCGTTGGTGTTTGACTGTTTAATAAAACTATCTATACTCACCCAAGAAGTATTATAATTGCACTTTTTGCAAAAAGTCTACCTTTTAGTTTCTTTTTCCTAGGGCTGCTCGCAGGAGTCTTGAGGCAGATGTTTCTATTCAGTATCTATACTAAGCTGCTTGCTTCTTTGTGTGGTTTTTGAGGAATGGCCATTTGCCCTCCTGGGAAATGTTGTCACATTCACCTCATCATCTTGTTTAGAGATCTCTCTCCACTCACTCCTGGTCATGAGGATCCTTCTCCACCCGCCTCCTCCCTTATATAGTTGCAGAACTTTTCCTACATGACCTCTTTCAGCACCTTTAATCCCTTTCCAGTCAATCCCCTGTCAACTCCAGAACATCAGAAATAGGAAATGATTAAATTGGGGTGGGCCAACTGATGGAAAATGTGTTGGGAGACTCTTCATTATAAGTGCTGCTGAATGACTAGACTTTTTAACCATATGCTTATAATGCTTCACTCACAGTGAATCAATTCATTATTCTTGATAACTCCAGAATGGTCCTGTGAAGATATTACCTTGGCCGTGTTATTCCCCTATTTAAGACTTTTTGATAATACCTATTGCCTGTATGATATTGATATAACCACAGTTACGTCCCTGTACTTTTTTACACATGCTGTTCCCTTGGCCCAGAATGCAGGTTCTGTTGATAGGGATTTTGGTCATTGTGTCAGAATCTCTTCTCTACGCCAGATTTTGAACAGGCCCCTGTAAATGCCCTGGCTTTGTGTGACTGGCTGCCCAACAGTGCTTTGCCCACATTCAACAGAGCTTGATTACATGAACCAAGGTGAACTAATTAAATCCTTTGGATTTGCCATCCCTTTTTTTCCACAGCAGTCTGAGCTATCAACTGAAGAAAGTCCAGAAAAATTAGGAACCTCCCAGCTACATCGTCGGAAAGTCATTTCCTTGAACAAGCAGATTGTACAAAAGACCAAACATCTTGAAGAGGTCAGTGTTTTCTTTTCATAAGTTTATTCAAGATCTTCATAGTAGATTGCTTAAAGGAGATTCCAGAATGGAGGTTGGCATACTGTGGTGCTTGGGCCAATCCAGTTGCCACCTGTTTTTGTATATAAAGCTTTATTACAACATATGCACATCCATTTGTTTACATATTTTCTGTGGCTGCTTTCAGGCTACGGTGGCAGAGTTGAGTAGTTGCAGAAGACCATAAGACCTACAAAACCTAAAATATTTACTACCAGCCCTTTGCAGAAAAAATTTGCTAACTTCTATCATAGGAAAAGATCACAGGGCAAGAATAAATAGCATTAGTTCACAAATATTTACCGAGCACTACTATGTGCTAGGCACTGAACTAAGCTATTGGGATGAATGAAGACCAAGTTATGATCCTTGCTGTCAAGGATCTTAAGGTCTGATGAGAAGTCATCACACTCATCGTCATTTAATTACAGGTGTGTTAAGTGCTTGAAGGAGAAGTCTAGGAAGCTGGGAGAGTGACTGATAGGGAGACCTGACCTAGCCTCAGGTCACAGAGTTCTGAGACTGGAAAGATGAGTGGGCATTTCCAGGCAGGAAGTCTGTATGGGCTATATCGACGTATAGAACAACATGAACAACGACCAGAGGAGGAAGGGTCTTGGCCAGTCTGTTTTGTGGCCAGAGAGTCATGAATGAGACAGTTGGTTGGCAGTGTCTGATCAAGAGGACCATCCAGGCCATGTTAAGCACAACGGAAGCCATCGAAGGGTTTAAATAGGGGAGTGGCATGATCAGAATTGCATATTGTAAAGACCATTCTGTTTGCTGCAGGGGCATGAATTAACTGGACTTGGGTGAGAAGGAATTCAGGGAGAACAGATAGGAGGCTGATGCAGTAGTCCAGACATGGACTGCTACTATTGATGGCAGGGAAATGGAGGAAACTTGATCATTTTTAAAAGAACTGTAGGAGATGGTGTTCTGTAATACCTGGGGATGTGAGACTGTTTTGGAAAGACCTTCATATATTTGCCCTAAAAAGTAGACCTAAGAGGAAGCTGGGAAGTTTGACTCAGGAACAGTCATTGGACAATAAAAAGTTATGTGCTTCAGTTGCATTAGCAATAGATTAGATTAGAAGAATATATGTAGTAGAAGATTAAGAGAATGAATATGAGCCGGGCGCGGCTCACGCCTGTAATCCCAGCACTTTGGAAGGCTGAGGAGGGGAAGTTCACCTGAGGTCGGGAGTTCAAGACCAGCCTAACCAACATGGAGAATACCTGTCTCTACTAAAAATACAAAATTAGCGCGGCATGGTGGGCCTGCTTATAATCCCAGCTACTCAGAAAGCTGAGGCAGGAGAATCGCTTGAAACCGAGAGGTGAAGGTTGTGGTGAGCTGAGATCATGCCGTTGCACTCCAGCCTGGACAACAAGAGCGAAACTCCATCTCAAAAAAAAAAAAAAAAAAAAACTGGGTACAAGTTGCATTTCGAGCTTGTTTTTATTCTTTCAAGTCCCACATATTTAAAAGGTATGAACTTATCAAATGGTCCTGCTCAATCATTTCTTTGTTTGAATCTGTTCTGTTAGAATTTGTTCTCCCATAGCTGAACAAACAATAGGTTGGTTTTGCTAGATGCTCTGGATCAAAGAAGGATGAAAAGAGAGCCTACGATTTGGTTTCTGTTCAGTTATTTGTTTAGACATCTTAATGAGTTCTCAACTGAGTATCATTTCTACTCCTGACCCCTGCTAGTGATAAGAATAGTTCAAAAAGAACTCATCACAGAATCAGAAGGAAGGATGAGGCTTCCTTATTATAGTGTATCTCTGAGAGAAGATAGTTGTGAGGTTATTGTGAACTCCAGGAGCCAGAGTATCCCAGCAGGAATGAATATTTACTTCTACCTTCTGTCTAAACCTGGGGAGAAGCAATGCTAAGCCTCAACACAAAGGGCAGTCTTGACACATTCTTGGTCCAGCTGACAGGGCAATCCTCCCTGACTCTTGAGTCTGTTTTGCAGTTGATTCAAAACACTTTTACCCAGAGCCTGTTACTTTCCATGCATACTGCTTAACATGTAGCAGGCTGTCATTAGAAGACAACAATCATTATTGCTACGTTTAATGTAATTAAAGATGATGACCAGCACATGCAATAATCCCTGGCCATGTAGCTATCCCAACTGGATGAGGAAAATGAGGTAGGAAGGGAAGAGACTTGCTCAGTTTGTGTTCCATGTTTTTGTGTATGTGCAGAGATACTAAACATATTTTCCTTTTGTTTCTGTCAGTTTTCAAATGTTTCAAGTGCTTTTTTTAAATTACAGGGATAAGCTCAATATAAATTAAATAGTATAGAAGTATATAAAGATAAGAATAAATACAGCAAGCTACTATTTGTGTCTGCTGTGTTGCCTTTGCAAACATGTATGCCCCTTCACCTGGGGAGAGTGAGTTGTATGGTTACAGAATGGGGATTTTATTTCACTTATTCTATCACAGACATCTCTCTGTCAGTAATAGTAATTGCTAATAAGTGCTTTGTTATTGCTTAGTAATTATTATGTGCTTTATAAAATTAACTCACTCAGTTCTCACAGCATCCTTATGAAGGGGAGGTACTGTTATTTTCCTCACTTTACAAATAAGGATACTGAGACACAGAGAAATTAAGCAGGCTGTCTGTAGTCACATAGCTTGTTAGTGATTGAACCAAAATTTAAGCATATGAATCTACCTCATTCTTTTTACTGACTGGATAGTGTGACATAGTATATATGTAACATAATTTATTTAACTTGTCCTCTAACTTGTCAAAAAATGCATTTTTTATTTTGCTAGAAACTATTGAGTTATTCATCAATTATTTTATCAATTTATACTTCTACGTGTGGTATGTGAGGGATTCCAAACTCTTTAAATCCCACAACCTCTTTTACAAGGTCATACAGGCAGAAAGCATCTGTGATGCATCCTTTTTTAGGCTTTTACAAACATGTATGCCCTCACCTTGAGAGTGAGTTGTATGGTTACAAAATTGAGTTTTTATTTCATGTATTCTATCACAGACATCTCTCTGTCAGTAACAGTAATGCCTAATAAGTGCTTTGTTATTGCTTACTAATTCCTAAGCACTTTGCAAAATTAACTCAGTTCACACAACATCCTTATGAAGGGGATGTACTGTTGTTATCCTCACTTTACAAATAAGGAAATATTAGTCCATTTTCACCCTGCAAATAAAGACATACCCAAGACTGGGTAATTTATAAAGGAAAGAGGTTTAATTGACTCACAGTTCTGCATGGGTGGGGAGACCTCAGGAAACTTAAACGATCATGGCGGAAGGGGAAGCAAACATGTCCTTCTTCACATGATGGCTGGAAGGAGACGTACAAGCAGGGGAAATGCCAGATGCTTACAAAACCATCAGTTCTCATGAAAACTCACTGTCATGAGAACACCATGGGGTAAACCGTCCCCATCATCCAATTATCTCCACCTGATCCGTCCCGTGACATGTGGGGATTATGGGAACTACAATTCAAGATGAGATTTGGGTGGGGACTCAGCCAAACTGTATCATGATCCACTAAGGGAATATGCTACAAAGGAATTAAAATGGAGTGAAGCTGGTAGGTAGCTAAGAAGAAACCTGAGAGTGATGAAAGAAAGAGAAATCCAGAGAGATGGTGTTAACCAGCAGCTGAATTTTTAGGATAAGTGTAGGGATTAGTGATGAAGAAGAAAATAGAGGTAAGAGAATCCTGGAGGACTCCAGCAAGATAAAAACTAAGCTAAGCTACTGGGACACTTCCTATGTAAGAAAAGATGGTCAGATGAAGAATTAAAGAGAGCTCTTGTTAGTTAAATTAATTAAAGAAAAGAGATGAGCCTTTTCTTCTTAGAAAGCTCTTACTTCCCTGCCAAGATCCATCTGAGGTAAGTCTTTGTCGGTGAAGGTTTCCTGAACCCCCTGGTGAGGGAGCTGACTCTTTCCCTGGGCCTGGCTCTGCCCCATCTCTTCTCATATTTTGATCTCACAGTTACAAAGTCATGTTCTTTTCTTTCTCCCATACACCTCATTTGAGCAGAGCATTGGGTAACTGTCAGATGAGTAGGTGGGTGCAGGGGTGAGAGGCTACATAAGAAGGTGGGTGAAGCAGGTGGGAAAATCCCGGGAACCTTTCCTAGAGCCTTGTCTTAGTCCATTTGGGCTGCTCTATCAAAATACCTTAGACATGATAATTTATAAACTACAGAAATTTGTTGCTTATAGATGTGAAAGTTGGGAAGTCCATGATCGAGGCACCAACAGATCTGATGTCTGATGTCCATAGATGACGCCTCATTGCTGCTGCCTCACATGGTGGAAGGAGGCAAGGGAGCCCACTCAAGCCTCTTATATTTTCATTTTTTTGAGACAGGGTCTCACTCCATCATCCAGGCTAGAGTCCAGTGGCATGATCATAACTCACTGCAGCCTCAACCTCCTGGGATGAAGCAATCCTTCTGCCTCAATCTCCCACATAGTCGGGACCACAGGAACACCACCATGCCTGACTAATTTCTTTTATTTTTTTTGTTGAGACAGCAGAGTCTCACTTTGTTGCCCAGGCTGAGCCTCTTTTATAAGGGCACTCTTCTCATTCACAAGGCTGGAGCCCTCATGACTTAATCACTTCCCAAAGATCCCACCTCTTGAAACTGTCATATTGGGTATTAGGTTCTAAGATGCAAATTTGGGGCAGACACTGACATTTAGACCATAGAAAGCATCAACAGTTAAAACGCTGGGATTTCAAGAGACAACTAAACTTTTTCCCAAAGTACCCTTATCTACCAGTTACACAAACAGGTTAATAAAAGTTGTTGTTGCACAGATGGCTGTCTTTGAAAAGGGAGGCACCAGAACCCACCTGCTTCTCTCTCCTTTATCACTTTGCTCTCGGCTTGAGTTGGCTTCTTGATAGGCCTTATTGGAATTATAACCATGTATCAGTCATGAAGACTAGTAACTAGATGGGAGTAATGATTTCTGAAGGTGACATAATTCTTAATAAGCTGCTTACAGGCCCAAGGATGAGGCATGTTACTTTGAAATAAGCATTGAGATATAGGTTAAAATTTCTCATTGTTAACTTGTACCCAGTTAATAACTAGTTTGAAGGTGGTTTTCTGCCTCTTATCCTTCTTTCTTTTTTTCTTTTTTATTATTATTATTATACTTTAAGTTCTAGGGTACATATGCATAACGTGCAGGTTTGTTACATATGTATACTTGTGCTATGTTGGTGTGCTGCATCCATCAACTCGTCCTTTACATCAGGTATAACTCCCAATGCAATCCCTCCCCCTTCCCTCTTCCCCCCGACATGCCCCGGTGTGTGACGTTCCCCTTCCCGAGTCCAAGTGATCTCATTGTTCAGTTCCCACCTATAAGTGAGAACAAGCGGTGTTTGGTTTTCTGTTCTTGCGATAGTTTGCTGAGAATGATGGTTTCCAGCTGCATCCATGTCCCTACAAACGACACAAACTCATCCTTTTTTATGGCTACATAGTATTCCATGGTGTATATGTGCCACATTTTCTTAATCCAGTCTGTCACTGATGGACATTTGGGTTGATTCCAAGTCTTTGCTATTGTGAATAGTGCCGCAATGAACATACGTGTGTATGTGTCTTTATAGCAGCATGATTTATAATCCTTTGGGTATATACCCAGTAATGAGATGGCTGGGTCATATGGTACCTCTTATCCTTCTTAAAAGTGAAAATACACAATCCTTTTGAGCATTTAAAGGAATGTTTTCAAATTTCTAAAAGTTGATAGACACTAGGATATATTGTTTTAGCAAGAGAAAGGGAATCGACTTTTTCAAGATGTGAGTTCATAGTTATGTAAGTTGGAACAGTAAAGTAATTTATTTTCATTCTCTTAGTGTTGAAGTCCTGAATCCTATCTTTTATGTGTCATCATTTGCCAACCAGTCTTATGCTAGAATCTCAAGTGCTGAAATGCTGTTTGTATTCTGCAAACAGGCAAGTTGGTGAACTGCATTGATTTTAGCCCCACTGAAAAGTCAGAGGGACTTGAATTTGGATCTGGGCCTCATCAGTTATCAGCTATAGGACTTTAGTCAAATAACTTAACCCCTATGAGTATTTATTTCCTTGTCTGTAAAGTAAGAAAAATGTCTTTTTTCACTAAATATAAAGATTCAGTGATATAATTTATGCAAAATTCGTAGTACATTGGCTGACGTGTACTTGGTGGTAATTAAATATGAGGCTTTTTTCTTGATTTGTTGTTGGCAACCCTTCTAAAATTTTCACATTTGCTCAGTTTAAATCTTTCTGAGCTTTCATTTTCTCATCTGTGAAATTGACATCTGTGTTGTCATGAGGATCAAATGAGAGCATATGTCTTTTATCTTTCATTTACAGCTGCGAGCAAATCACACCAGCCTACAAGCCAGATATAATGAAGCCAAGAAAACGCTGACAGAGGTGAGCAGATAGATTTTCCTTCTTCCGTGGGCCCTTGTCAAGAATCGTTTTTGACCTGCACCACTAATGGAATGCCGTGTTTCATCATTCTGTGTATGGGAGACACAATCCTGTTCTCAGAGACGGCAGTCAGTTTGAAACATGGGACAGTTACGTGGTAGTGTGTGACCCATGCCATCAGTTTGCTCACACTGCCACATTCTAGACCCTTAGCGGTCTTGGTGGGAGAGGTCTCTGTGGGCTGTGAGGGTCAGTAAAGGCTTCCTAGGAAGGCGAGCCTGATAGGCTGGGTGGGGCACAGGCAGGAACTCAGAATGTCACTCACAGTAAATAACCCTTGCCTCTCAAACAGCAGCTGTAAGATCCTGAATTCCTTGAGAGTGAGATGTCTTTTGAGAGATGAGAGAACCTCAGAGTGATATAATTGTTGTTCAGAATTTCCAGTAATCTCCTAGGCAGAATGGAGCAGGGGCTGCAGGAGGAGAAGGAGGACTGGGAGTGCGTTTGAACCCTGCGATTCAGTCTGTAGTCTAGGTTGCAAGTGTGCTGCTACTTCACGTTAGCATTGTCGCTGCTCACTTCCCACTTCTGAATGCTGAACAGACACCTCTGCTGCCACCTCTATCATGAGCAGTGTGTAGATATTTCTGTCGCTTGGTTTCCACAGAGAACCATCCTCATCCAGACTTGAAAAGCTCTCTTCCTACTGAGTTTGGTGCTTGGACTATAGCTGTGCTATGGAAGGACCTCGCTGCAAGGTCCCTACCTAGTACTTCCTGGACGATTTGGAAGCTAGGATCTTCAAAGATGTCTCTGAAACCAACCCAGTCTCCCTGCTTTTCTAGAATTCACATGACATTTACCAATTTAAAATTCTTATTTCTGTAGCAATATGTAGCACTTAATTTTCCACCTTGATGTAAACCTGACAAAGCTTTTCAATTCTGGTCTGGACTAACCTCTTCAGTTGTTGTCAGAATGTTTCAAAAGAGCAGGCACATCAATGGCAATTAGAATAATTTTTTTCTCATTGTTCATAAAGACGCCTGCCTTGCCTTTGGACAGATCAGCTTCCTTTACACTGCTCTGTGACTGTGTTCCTTATGGATTCGATGGCAAGCTCTGCGGGTTGGGAGCCCTCTGTGGTATTACTTTTAATGCTGCAGAGCCCCTGGCATGAAGTTTGCTAGTTCTTGGATCTGTCTTTGTATAACAATCTGGAAGAGATTAAAGGGAAAATATCTTGATATCAATTTTCTAAGACATTTATATGCCTTAGGATATCAACTATCAGTGACTTACAAAGGGGTTTTTTATACTAAACACTAAATCAAGTATTTGTTGAGCCCTTTTCATGTTATAGAAAGGTGGAGGGTGTGATTTAAGTCAGTAATAAGACTGTCCTCAAATGAAAACAGCAGCCAGCATTGCTCTGGGCCTATCATTCCTGCAGTCATCATTCTTTTTTGCAGATGGGAAAGCTAAGGCAGAGAGGCTAAATAACTTGCCAAAGGCCATGCAGCGGGGGTCAGGATTCAAATACAGGCAGCCTGGCATCAGAGCCCTCTTTGGTAGTTTACTGTCTAATAGGACAATCAGACTAATTCCCATCTGGAAAAATGGGAAAGCTGTATAAAACCTAGTACTGAGCAACTTCTGAAGAAGCTTGATTTGGTCAGCCTGTGAGTAAGTAATGTCTTTCGCCTCTGGGCCTGGTTCTCCTTACCTATCAAGGTGAGTAGTGAGCAGAATGAGCGCTCTGTACCCTTTCACTCCAGGCTTCCCAGATTTTACCTCTTTAGCAAAACCTGCGCTTCCAGGATAACCTGGTAGCACTGAAAAGCAGGAAGGACTTGTGTCTCTCCAGTGAGTCTGGGGACAGCAGAGCAGGGCATGGAAGGTCGCAGACAGCAGTGGTGCCTGACACCCATGGGGGAGGCTGCATGACTGCTTCAGGAAGGCCAGGAGACTGGCTGTCCCCTCCGCTCTGTAATTTCAGCCATCACAATTCTAATTTCCTGTGTGTGAGGTTGATTGTTTTCATGCAGTATTCTTTTATGTCTAAGTACATTAATTGTATCTAGTTTTGCTTGCTCTATAACCATTACTTAAGATCCGAATTGGGTTGTTGAATTGATACATCTTTTTTAAGGTTATGTCTGTCTGCAGCTGTTTGATGAGCCTTGGTTATATGCTCATCTTTAATTCTAATTTCGATTACCACCTCTGCAGATCCGTCCATTTTATGCAGCCCACTTCCTGTGTTTATTCTGGAAGGGATCTACCTACTGTTTGCTGGGGTCAGCGGGTAGTAACTGATGTTCTGGGTCAGGGAACTCCCCATTTCTGCTGGGTATCACCAACTATGCGGGACCCCGCCCTGCCTCTGAGAGTTAAGCACCAGCTCTTGGGTTTAAGATAGTCAGGTTTCATTGCCTAGCCTAGGTGGCTGTTCCTGATGCAGATCCCCAACACTGCACGCCAGTCCTTCCTACATCTGCTAACTCCACATAGTTTCCTCCTCAGGCCATTCCTGTCTGTTAACCATCTTTTTTGACCGGTGAGGTTAAACTCTTGTGTTCTAATGTAATAGTCTGGATGGTTGGGGGTCTTAGGGCAAGAAGGGGTGGCTGCGGCCAGGTGCTGTGGCTCACGCCTGTAATCCCAGCACTTTGGGAGGCCGAGGCAGGTGGATCACGAGGTCAAGAGATCAAGACTATCCCGGCTAACATGGTGAAACCCCATCTCTACTAAAAATACAAAGAATGAGCCGGGTGCAGTGGCAGGCGCCTGTAATCCCAGCTACTCGGGAGGCTGAGGCAGGAGAATGGCGTGAACCCAGGAGGCGGAGCTTGCAGTGAGCCGAGATCGCGCCACCGCACTGCAGCCTGGGTGACAGAGTGAGACTCCATCTCAAAAATAAATAAATAGATAAAATAAAAAAGAAGGGGTGGCTGCAAGTTGTGCTTAGTCTACTATTTTCAACTAGAACTCTTGGAACTTTTTTTAAACTTCTTTTTTTTTTTAAATTTTTGAATAAGTAACACATTCACGTGGTACAAAATTCAAAAAGTACAAAGGGTGTAGGTTTGGAGAAACAGACGATATTTTCTTCACCGAACAGTAGATACTAGAGATCATTGTAAAAGAGCTACTTCATTTTTTTTTAAATATTGGCTTAGTATTCTGTTGTATGATGTAATTACCTACTTTATGCATTAAAATCCGAGTTTAAGTTTCTTGTTTAAAAAATGTCATTATCTGCCTCACAAAAAGAAGGTGAAGTTGTTCAGCTCTACTACCAAGGCTCCAGCAGCCATGTCTCCATTCTCTCTTGCAGCTTAAGACTTACAGTGAGAAACTGGACAAAGAGCAAGCAGCCCTCGAGAAGATAGAATCCAAAGCTGATCCAAGGTAAGAGGTTTCAGCATGCACTTATTTTTGCTTTGATGAAAGTAACTTTGCTGATACTTGTTGGCTGGATTTGTTTAAACACAAAACAAAGCAGCCAAAGGCTATTGGTCTGGCCACTGCAGGTCAGATCATTTTACTGCTCATCCAGAAAGTGGTGACTGTGTCATGCTGAGATGTGCTTGGGCTGCCCTGTGTTAGTCACCTTTCTCCCAATACCCCTTGTGTGCAGAAGCAGCATAGTTTTTTGTTTTTCTGTTTTTCAAAATGGTCATACCTTTCTAGTACAAAAAAGGGCATGTGGTGAAAAATTTTCCTCCCACTCCTGTCCCCAGCCACCCAATTCTCTTCCCTAGAGTTCACTGTCGTTACAAGTTTTTAAACAGCTCGTGCCTCCTTGGTAGAAAAGGTGCAGTCTTTTCTGTCAAGACGCAGCTGCTGTAGTTGTTTGTTCTTCCATGCAGAATGAATTGTCATTAGAGCATTAGTGGAGAGAAAGCACTTAACATTTGACCTTTTTAGCCTCAGACTGTTTGGGTGGTATAAGGTCTCCCAGGAGCCGGTTATTTGAATGAGACTGAAATCAAAAAGTTTCAGACACAGAATGAGCAGTTCTTGTTTGATGAACATTTTTACCAAAAAGTCCCCACAGGTAATTTGACTCTATAATTATAAACCTTTGTTTCATGAAATGGAGCAAAGCAGTGTCAGATATCTGATATTTTTATTGTCAAATTTGTGCTTTTAATGACCTTAAGTAACTTGTTATCCTCTTCAGAATGGATTTTAAAAATAGTTTTCAATACTGTATGTGCCCTGAATACAGTTGAATAATTGGTATCATTAAATATATCTGGTGCTGTTGAAACTCATTGATGTTTCTATAGTTGGCATTTTAATTCTGGAATCTGTAATGTTTTCTTGGATCCGGCATGATGGTCTTGGGTTTATAAATGAAAAATAATGTCAGTTAAATGGAAGTCGTTATCATTTGTGCAGAATCCGTGAGACACTCTTAGAGCTGAGAAAGGAAATTGAAGAGTCCTTTTTTAGCTGCGGACCTGCTTTTAGCTGTGATTCATAAAATCATAATGGCCTGCCATATGTCATTTTCTTGTCTTTTCTCTTCAGTATCCTACAGAACCTGAGAGCACTTGTAGCCATGAATGAAAATCTGAAAAGTCAAGAACAGGAATTTAAAGCACATTGTCGAGTAAGTGTTGTTTGGTGTCAGCAAATAAACCAGGACTCTTACTGAATCTCTTGGTTTACCTCCATTGTCCTGTTGTGATATCCTATCCAGTGCAGTTTAAAAAGCAGATTCATAAAAAAAAAAAAAAAAAAAAAAACAAGGCAGATTCATCCAGCAGTTGTCAGTTGTACAAGCCGAATAGAGCACCATGGTTGGTACCCTACAATGACACCAGAAGTAAGTCAAATAAGTAACTTTGTGCCAAACCCCAAAACAAACAATGCCACCTAACTTTGGTATTTGAAAGAAAAGCTGTATGAAGTTTTTGAAAAAATGTATTTTGTTGACAGATGGCCTTTGTGAAAAGAGTAACATCATACAAAACCAGGGCTGTCCTGAAAACCTGGGATGTCTGTGTCCTATGTATAAGTCCTGGCTGCCACCATCTGGAAATCTGTAGTCTGGTCGTGGGGGTGATGTGTGCTCAGCTGACTCTAGTGTGAGATAGGAAATGAGGCCCGGCAAGTTCTGTGTGAGCTCCAGGGGAGGAAAAGACACTTCAGCACAGGAGCCATTAAAAGCTAGATCTTACTTAAGGGCCAGGGAGGACGGCAAGTGGAAGAGGTACTTGATGAGGCAGAGCACCAGGCTGGAAGATGGACAGGTGAATAAGATTGAGGCCTGCTGGAGACAGGAAACAGACAAGACTAATTGGAACTAGGCTCTAGATCACTTGTTCATTTCAATGCCCAGTGATTACTACATACTCACCAGCCCTTCAGAAAGAAAGGCCTCTTTTGATGGAGGAAGAGCTGCCTGTAGCCTCCTGAAAAGAACTTTCCCAGGCTGATAATTGGAGATGGGGGCAGCTACCCCATTAGCTTTTCGTCACAGAATAAACTCATGAAATGTGAAAATAAGACTTGTGGACCAAATAGTTGAATAATTGCATCTAATTACTGGCCTGTCTGAATTTTTTAAACGTTCATGTCACTTTTAAAGGAGGAGATGACACGGCTACAGCAAGAAATTGAAAACCTGAAAGCTGAGAGAGCACCACATGGAGATGAAAAGGTAAAGGCTCTGAATTAGTCCTTGAGACTGTCAGGTGTTATTATGACTTACACAGGGAAAAGATAGTTCTAGAGGACCAACGAGCAGACAGCTGGTGCTAACTCATCCTGTAAATACACATTTCTCAACTGTTTTCCTTCTGTGACCTTCTAAGATTTGCATCCATCTCTTCTGTCTTTCCTCTGGGAGTAAAAGGCAGCAGAGGATGTAGAAGGCAGCAACCCAGACATGAATTACCAGATTACACACTTCTGGCCTCCCTCTGTTTGGGGAGATGTTTCTGGGAAAAGTCTGAGCTCTATTTCCTGCTTACCCGTTCTTTACGTTTTCTGCCAGTTTACTCATTTCACCTTCCTCCTTTCCTGCTCAAGGATAATGCTCCACTCCCAAAAGGCAGCAGCAAACATGAAGAAGGAGAGGGCAGTGTTGGATTTCACGGAAGAACCCTAAGCTTGCAGGAGCAGTCTAGGTTTAGGGAACACACCTGCACAGCTGGTTCTTGGAACAGAGGACTTGATCTTCCAAGGAGCTCACATGAATTTTCATTAAACCTTAAATTGTAAGGAACAGGGAACTTGAAGCTTAGGGAGAACAAGAGTGTCCAGCCACCCAGCGCCAGACCGCATGCCCTGCTGCCTGGCCCAGCACTCTGCACTGGGCTGTGCCCATGGCTGTACAGGACACTGCCATGCCCAGCGGGCAGACGAAGGTCTTGCAGGGCCCTTTTCACTCTCCTGAGTGGTTGCATTATTTCATCCGAGCCATACAACTCTTCACATCTGTGAGGGGACCGGCATGGGTGAATGGGAGAGCCTAGGAGGCGGTGGTGTCCCAGGCTTATCGTCACACAGCCCACCTCTCCTGTTGTTTCTAAAACTTTAAATCTTTAAAGCTCAAATCATCAACTTGAGTTTTGAGCCTCTGAGTTTGCACGAATTAGACTCTTCGGATCTCATTTCTCTTCTCAGCGCATCTTGTTAGCGAGATTCTTACATTCAAAAAGAGCTGTACAGTTTACCGTGTTAGTGTGTAACTGACAGACATCTAAGGGCAGTTCCCTTTCTGCTCTCTTCAGACATGCTCAGGGGACATCAACGCATTTCTCGGCTGCACCCTTATGCCCCTGCCTGGCCCCTTCCTACATCTAGATCCTTGGCTTCTGTCCTATTCCCAAATGCTCAGGAGAGGTGTTTATTATGTTTTCATTGTTTCAGACCCTCTCCAGTGGAGAGCCGCCTGGTACCTTGACCTCTGCAATGACTCATGACGTAAGTACCTGCCTGCTCGGGATTGGCATTGTCTCCTGAGGGCAGGCGGCCAGCTTTCCACTGTCCTGTGATGGCTTCTCATGCCTACTTTAATGTGCTCTACGGCAGACTCTGCATCTAGGCTTTCCAGGGCATTGTCCTGTTTGATACAGCTGGCCCTCAGATGGAGGCAGCGTCTCCCCAGCAGTGGCCCTGAAGGTGACCCTTCTGGTGGGTTTTCTCCCAGTCCTGTGTACAAGCATCTTGTTTTCATGCTGGCGTCTCAGCTGGGAAGGGGAGAGGCCTGCGTTGGCCGCATATACTGGTCACCACTCAGGCTCTGAGGGGTTGAGTGGCACAGAGGGGAAAACCTTCTCTCTCTGTTGTACTATATACCAGACTCAGCAAACTGTTTCTGTAAAGGTCCGCATAGTAACTCTTTTCGGCTTTGTGAGCCAGCTCTGCTGTAGTGACCATAGTTGATCTGTAAATGAATGGACATGGCTGTGTTCCAATAAAACTTTGTTTACAAAAATGGGCCACAAGGTATATTTGGCCCAAAGCCTGTAGGATTTAGCTCACAGGCTGTAGTTTGCCACCCTCTTCTGAGTTAAACCAGTGCTACCCGCATTCCAAAACCCTCCAGAAGAAAGAGATAGGAAAGGAAGTGGAGGAAAGGAAAAGCATGAAAACTGTAAGCATCTGTCTTCTTTAAGGGTTCCTCTTCCCTTTGTACCCTCATAATCTCCCAGGAGAATGAGCTTCAGCACTCTTCCAGTGAAGTCTGTTGGATTTTGCCTGCAGCTGAGTCCCTTGGGTGGGTGGGTGCGGGTGTGTGTGTATGTGTGTGTTTATATTCCCTATGCTGAGGAAGGAGGGGCTCCTTTGACCCCTTTTGTAACTTTCTCTGAGACGACAAACCAGCCATGTCTCTTACCTTGCTGGGTTCAATGAGGGACTAGTTTCTTCCTATTTTCTGTATCAGTGCTGTCCAAGATAATTTTTCGCAGTGATGGAAATGTTCCATTCTGCACTGTCCACTGTGGCTAGGGGCTATCACATTGGATAACACAGCTCTAAGTAGAAACATAGAAAACTAGCGTCATCTCCAAACACAGGCATAGAACAACACATTCTTTAACTAGTGATTTGTCTCTACATCATCATAGGTTTTTGCAGGGGGAGGGCATATACGTTTGGAGGTTACTTAAGAATACTGGATTCATCCTGGGTCCCAGAAGGAGGAGTTGTTATAACATGATATGAGAGGGTATCAAGGGTCTCATATGAGATAGGACCCAGACAGTAAATTTGGGCATTTAAGAAGAGAAATTTAAGGTCTTGGGATGGGGGAGATATGATAAAAACATATTCAACTTTCAAAGACTCCATTAAAGAGTGAAAGTGTTCTAGTCCCTGGTAATTACAGCCTTTTCCAATTTTTAGGACGACCTAGACAGACGGTATAATATGGAGAAAGAGAAACTTTACAAGATACGTTTACTACAGGTGAGTAAAAGAAGGACAAAAATATGCATAAATTCTTCTAACTAGGTTTAGATGTCCTATGACACAACTAGAAAGTCTCAATATCTAAGAATTAGAAAAGATGAGTAATGAGGCTGCGTTCACCAGTCTTCTTTCTATCTGGAGTGTAACTCAGTGATTTAAGATGTTGGTATTAACATCTCACATTGGTATGTTACTTTCATAACCACTCCTTTGAGTTAATCCTTACCCCAGGTGGAAAGTGGATATTACATCCCATTTTCTTTATGAAGAAATTGACTTTCCCAGAGTCAGGCGGCTGGTAGGTGCCAGAGTCTGGATTCCAGTTCCCCGGTACTCATCAAGTACTAAACAAGAATTGTGCTACTGTTCCTCTGAAATTAAGTGCCATTTCAGCTGTTTTTTTGTTTGTTCGTTTGTTTGGATAACCGGTGGTTTGTGAGCGTGACATCAAATATGGGGGAGCTAGGTTTCAAAATTAGCTCTAAAGTTTAATTCATGCAGAGTGAAAATTACATTTAAAATCCCCTACATTACTGGGATCTGGCTCATGGAAGATCAAAAGCCAGAAGTTCCTTCTGTCACACTTTGGTTCAAGCCAACCTTCTGTTCTCTGGGAGGGAAAGGCCGAGCTCTGGCAGGAATGGCCAAAGGGCTGCAGAGGCCAGTGAGATCGCCTTTCCCCTCTCTCTGGCACCTACTTACTTTGCTGAGCTGAGATGGCTAAATTTGGGTGAGTCAAATTTGTCCTTGTTACAGTCTCTACTAATCTTTAAAGAGGCATAGAATTAAATAAAATCGGGACAGTACAGCTGCATATTTGGAAACTTTTTGACTGAGTGCTTTGTATGTATTCAGCATTGCATCAGGTCCCAGAACTAATAGGATGACCCATCTCCTGGAAATGCTGGCTATTTGAGAACCAAGACATGTCTATATATACATCAAGTTCAAGGGAGTTTATGTGCAAATTGCTTACTAAGGGCAGCTTCAGACTGGCCAGAGGAAACCTTCAGTAAAGCCAATGGCTTGCTGAGGGCAAGGGCCTGAGTTAGGCAGTGGCTGTAGAATGCATGGAAATGAACTGATGGGACAGATTGCAGGGCTGTAGCTGATGGAACTTAGTATCAATTGAGATAAAAAGAGGAGTCAAGGATGATGCTGGAATTTCTAACACAAGGGTGGATAATATTTGTGTAATTCATAGAGAAGAAGCATAAAAGAGAAGCAGTAGACTAGGGTTAAGGGTGAGAGGAGGAGTATAAATAGGAGTGTTAATGAGATCTGTTTGGGGCTTTTCAAAGTTGGGGTACTCAACCACATTGAAATGTCCAAGGAGTACTTGGTTGTCAGATCTGACTCCCAGAATAGTATGGGCTGGAGATTTGGGTGTCTGCAGTGTTGATGAGGACTGGGGCTGTGGAATGTGGAAGAGGCCCTGAGACTACACCCTGGTGAGCGCATGTGAGGACAGGCAGAGCAAAAGGGGGGATCTCCAGTGAGGATGCGCCTGAGCAGCCAGAAGGGAAAACAAGTGCATGAGGTTCATGGGAGCCGAGCAGAGCGCTCAGCTGAGAGGAGGGGAAGTGCCACTAGAAATCAAGGCTAGGAGCTGAGAATTGTCCATTAGGTGTGTCCCTGAGAAGGTGTGCAGTGACTTTGGCAAAAGCAGTTCAGTGGGGCACTGGGGAGAGCCCAGTCGCAGTGGGTTGAAGGAGGATTGGCGTGGACAGAGGCTCCCATATGCGTGGCTCTCAGTACATTTCTCTTCCCTATAAAAGGGAAGAGAGAGACTGGTAGCTGAAAGGTGATGGCGATTAAAGAAGGGCTTTTTAAGAAGTGAGGACGTAGGAATGTATTTAATGCTGATGAGAAGGGTCAGTAGCTAGAGAAAAGTTACATATGCAGTAGAAGACTGAAGAGTTGTATCTTAAGACTCCTGAAAGGAAACCAGGAGTGAGCGCCTAAGCACCCATGGGGAGCATAGCCTTGGCCTAAGGGAGAAATACATCCTTCCCTCTCCCTAGAGCTGCAGAGACCCAGTTTTGGATTAGGTCACCAGACATGAATATGGGTTTCCCACCAGGAGTCTCCTATTTACCAGTGAATTAGAGATTCACATCTGCTGCTGCAGGTGACGCAGGCAGGAGAGTGGGAGGATGTGGTGGACAGAGGGATGCAGGCACAGAAGAAAGGCAGCACTCAGAGCCTACGTGGTCCAGAGTCTACACATGTTCAGTGGGAGCCATGCACAAATGAGCGGCTTGTTCCCCCTGCAGCTGCCCTTGCACCATGCTACACCACACAGCAGTGCCATGCCTCCCAGACCTGGTCAGTAGGGCAGTTTCCTGAGTCCGTGGAAGGGAGAAAATGCTGGAAAGTATTTGAGGAGTAGGTTGTAGGAGCTTTTCAACCAGGATGAGGAATTTGGGATGTATCTGGAGGCAGCAAGGTGGCGTAGCTTCCCATCATCTGAAGCATTCCTGTTGTTGCCTGTCGCCACCTGGCAGTGGTGCAGCTGGCTACTCTGGACTTCTTGGGGGCCTGGGGGGCTAGCTGCAGGCTCTGTCCATAGCAGCCCTTCCCATTCAGTGTCTTCCCTCCTGGTCCATTTATTTGGTGCCTTCTGTGGTTCAGTTCACAGTCGCCTCCTCCCGCACCTAGGAAAGTGGGAAAGTCAATCCGAATCTGAGATGGGGACCTTTATGCCGATGACAGAAGTTTGTGCCTACATTGTAGGGCTTGTGGCTGGGCTCAGGTCGGGGTGCAGGCAGTATTTTGGCTCCCTAGAGAATATGTAAGGCCTTTTACCAAATAGTACTGTCTCTACCTTCCTTTTGCATTTAGGCTCGAAGAAATCGAGAAATAGCAATTTTGCACCGCAAGATTGATGAAGTCCCTAGCCGTGCCGAGCTAATACAGTACCAGAAGAGATTTATTGAACTCTACCGCCAGAGTAGGTGCATCGACCACAGACAAGCTCTCCAGGCCGGGGAGGGACAGGCGAGGGGTCTGTTCCACTTTAGCGTGGGGGAGCATGCACCAGAGCATAGTCCACAAAGGCCACCACCAGAAAGCTCCGTTTCATCAACAAGTCCACTTGGCAGTCCCGGGAGCAGCACTGGTGCTCTCACTGCCCTCTCCATGGACAGATGGTTGAACCAGTTGAGCTCTTAGAGTAAAGCTTCAAAGCAGCCCTTATCCTGGTCAGCCACATAGCCTTCCCCTGAGCTCCTGCACCACTTTCCAACTTCACACAGAACATCGTGACCCTGGTGTCTAGAGATCAGCCCTCACTCATTGTTCTCTACAGACTTTCTTGCTGATGTGGTCCTTAACCCTTAACAGCATCATATTCACCCAGTAACCCAGGACCATGTCCCCTCAGCCTGAATAAAACACCATGTCTCATCAGGCTCAGAATGGCCCTCAAGGCTACCATTGCCTTTCTCTTCCTAACACTCCTGCCACATCTGCTCTTGCATCATATCTCAGCTAAATGACCATTAGCTGCAGTTCCTCCAAGTCCCCTAGCCACACATCTGATTCTGTCACTTCTCTGTCTGCTAACAAATCTTCAGGAACTCCTCGGGCCTTACTGAACAGAGCCTCTTTCTTTATCATGTCTGGGTTCCTCCCTAGTCTGAGTGGCCTGCCTGGAGGCCCCTTTCCTGATCTGAACCCTCACTCTGGCCTTGCCAGTCCACACACTGCCTCTGAGCAAACCATAAGCTTTGACGTCTTAGCCTTGACTCCTTCTGTTCCTGGTGCCTGGATCCCTTCTCTTCTGTCAGGCTAAATTCTTCAGTACCCAACTCAGATCCTGTAAACCTATATTCTAGGTCCCTCACCCCAGGCAAGAACTGATCACCTCTTCTCCATGCTCCTACTCTTGTATTACCCCATGATACCTCAAACTCAACAGGTACAAAACTGAATTCAGCCCCCCTACCCCATATTCCTCTTAGGCAAACTGGACCCGTCTTACTTCTCTGACTCAAGCTGCTTGCCATTTCTGTCTGTTTCTTCTGGACTGCTGCTGTAGCCACTTTCCTTTGCTGCCCAGAGTCTAATTAGATCTTTTTCAATATATATTTGATCATTTTACTCTAAAAGCTTTAATACTTAATAGCTCCCTGCAACTTCTTAGGTAATCTTTAGAATCCTAAATACACTGTACTAAGTCCTGCATCGTCTTGGCCCACTTCACCCAGCTTCACCCCTTTTGCACATCTGCGTCTTGGCCTGTGAGCTGGTAACGGAGTCCAGAGTGCCATTATCCTACAATTCCCACTTGGTCTTTCAAACTCCACCTAAGATTTTGCCTTGAGGCATCCTTCCTGGTAGAGCACTGGCTCTATTGGAGGAGTTCAGAACATGCTTCCTTCACGCCCTGGCCCCACCAGGCTGGGATTTCATCCAGTCCTCACACTGGACTCAGATGATCAGAGGTGGGGATCAGCAGTGACAGTTTTCAGCAGAAAGTAGTTTCTGCTTTAAGTTAAATCTTTCCCTTTACTTTTCTATTCCTGCTTGTTTCAAAGCTTTTAGTAATAATACCTGTATCTGTTTATTTCACAGAACAAATTTCACATAGGTTAAAATCATCTGATAAAGACATGTTTACACTAAGGACATTTTCAAGCAGTTACATCCTATATCATGTATTATTATCAAATATCTACAACCCCCACCCAGTTCTTTAGCTGGATGAGGTAAGGGTGGCTGGTTCATTTGTGGGAGTAATTTTCAACTTTGGATACTCACTGTCACCACCCGGGTCCCACCTCTAGACATCCTCCTTTCATTGGTCCTGAGACTTTTTAAAAGCTTCCCAGAAGATTCTGTTTGCGCACTGTGGGTTTCTGCAGAGTGAGCTCCCAGGCCTGACAAAGCTGTCCTGGCAGTGCATACATGGGGGAGAGGGGCAGGTAGGGTGTTCTGATACCTGTTGTTATTCATGTGCTGATTGCTTTACCTTTACAGTTTCAGCAGTGCACAAAGAAACCAAGCAGTTCTTCACTTTATATAATACCCTGGACGATAAAAAGGTTTATTTGGAAAAAGAGGTAAGAACATTTATGAAAAGAAAATGGCTAAGCAGCCAACAGTGCAGTTGACTCCAGGAAGTCAAATGAACTTGATGTCTGGGACAGATATGTTCAGCATTAGCAGAAAGAGTGCCTGTTTTATGTGCTAAGTGCTGGCATACCCAGTCAGAAAGTACAAGACTCCCTGGGAGCCCAGACTGTCTGCTGTGAAGTGAGACTGGTGGACACCCATTCTAGAGTGCTGTGGGGGAAATGCCATTGTTAAAAGGAACACAATGGAAGCTCTGGAGTTGGTGAGACTAGTTTGAGTTTTAAAGGAAGGGAGGAACCAGCTGAATGGGGGTGGTGGGCTTGTTATAGTTTACAGAGAGAAAATACCTGTTTAATAATCAGTGGCCGACAGAGGCGTGAACTAAAAGGTTTGTAAAATTCAAAGCAGGGGTAAAAGGGTCACTGTCACTTCCTTCATCTTTCTAACGCTTAAAAACTCAGGTTAAATTAATGGCTCAGGGCTTTCCCAAGTTGATGGCAAACGGTTTGGGCACAGTATGCAGATATGTCTTAATTTAGAAAAGAACAGTCCTGGTCTTCACCATGGCAGCAGGTGTCCTGAAGAGAACATGGGCTTTGGCATCAGTCAGATTTGGGTTTATTTGGGTTTTAGTGTGGCCTTATTTTTTCTCACCTGTAAAATGGGGATGACACCTAATTGCATTGATGATGATTATAATGAGGACAGAATGAGAAAATGTAAAGTTCCTTACACATGATGGATTCTCAGTACATACTTGTTCCTACCCTCCCCCTCACCTTGAGGTTAACAGAATGTGTTTTCATTTTATCACCTTGTAGCCTACACTAATTACCACTTTAATAAGGATAATATTACAAATGTATCTTTTACCTGAACCCAAATTGAAGCATCTGTAATTACTGTCACCTTTACTGCCTGCTGTCAGACAAACCAGGTAGATCTCTGTCATCCTAGAGGGCACTCCTTGAGAAGTTGTTTTATTTTTTTCTGTATTCAGGGCCTTACACAGTGGTAGGCATATAACAGACATTTGATAAATGTTTGAATAGATGAATGCATTTTATGGGATTTGCATCAGACCTGGGGAATAGCTGTGCCCCACATCCTGGCCTTGAGGCCCTCCTACCTGGCAAAGGAAAGATTTGCCAACCCTGACTTAGGGATAGCCCAGCCCCTTCCCAAAGGCCTTAAATCCCATTGACCTTCCTTCATCAGCAGTGTTTAAAGTTGTTCCACTGTTTAAAAACTAGGAATATTGTGAGGCAGAGTGGGGAGCTGGGCTTTTTAATTCTAAGCCATGTTACCAGTTTAGAATGTTACATTTGAAGAAATGTGGTATTTTATTTTAAATGGATTTATGCCTGTGATATTTTAACTTTAAAACCTTCCTGTGGAGTAGTAAGGACAAGAAACAGTCTACATTGCAGACTGTGAACCTAAAGTTCACACGTGGTATTTACTTAGTTCTGAGCTCCCAAGTTGAGTCGTTTTATGGCCAGAAAGATGACCCAGGTTTCCTTACTCCTGCCTCAGAGCCCTTCCAAGGACTGTATCAGTGGGGCAGATAAGAGGATTTGCTGTGGGGCTAAGGCAGTGTCCACGGGGCCTTGAACAGTGCATCCCGTCGGAGGCACTCAGCCACCCAGCAGCTTAGCTTGCTGCATTGGCAAGAAGATTCTGTGGGAAGGAATAGAGTGTAAATGACTCTCACCCTCCACACTGTCTGACTCCCTTAAGCTGTTATCCTTGAAAATAAAGTGCAGTGTTTGGCAAGATAGAAAGGTGGTGGCAGCTTGCCTAGAGAGCCCTAATGTTAGCTTAGTGTCCTCTCAGCTGGGATCCAGGTCCCTTCAAAGCACCCTCTCCCTACATTCCTGTGGGAATGCCCTATAGGAAGAGGGAATTTTCTGTGAGAAGAAGGTGGATTCCCTGAGGAAAACTGTGAGACAGAACATGTGGCTCATTTTTTTTTTCATATGTTACTTTAATCTTCATAAACAAGGCTTGTGTTCCTTGCAGAAGCAGTATGTGGAGACAGGCAAGCTTGCAGCACTTGCAGTAGTGTGGAAATCTTTTTGCCTGTCTTATAATTTCATTTGTTTTTTTACTTCCCCAGATTAGTCTGCTGAACTCAATTCATGAGAACTTCTCACAGTAAGTACTGTCAGTCCTCCTTCCCACTAATACCCTGCCACCCTGTACTTTGAATTCAGCCCACCTTACACTGCTATACTGTGCTTCACAAAGGCACATGCAAGACTTAACGCTGGGTATGTGATTCTTACTCTTTTAGCCCTTCTGCTAGGTATCTTGTTTACACTCTCCTTGAGTATCTGCAAAACTATAATGATAGTCGAGTGAAGGAAGAGCTTAGGAAAAAAGTTAACTTTCCAATAATTTGACTGTGCCTACCTACTAAAATCTCTCTGTATATTATCAAATTAATATTTGTTAATGAACACACAGAGATACTTTAAAATTTACATAATGGAATTTATATAATTTTTTAGATTTTTAAAATCTCACAGTAGATTTTTTTGGTTAATGTGTACATTGTTCTCTAAAAACTAGATGTCAAGGCCCACCTGTTCCCAAATCAAGCAGCCCTCAAGCATGTCCATTTGCCCACCCACCATCCAGCAGCCCCAGGACTTGCTCCTTGGAGAGCATGCTTCCCTTCTCTCTGGCATAAATCTCTGCTGTCCTCTGGCAGGTGACAGGGGACACATTGAGACTGAGATCTTAATGAGTTACAGGTTCTAGATTTTAAGCTTCTTTTCAAAAAAAAAAAAAAAATAAAAAAAAAAAGAAAAGCCTGCACTAGAACATAAGCTCTTTTCAAAAAAAAAAAAAAAAAACGAAAGCCCACAGCTTCCTAATAAGATTCAGATTCACTGTGTAAAATACCTTGTGACATTTGTAAAAATGCCATTTTCATCTTTCCCAATGATTGAGAGAGCCTGTGGTTTGAGTGTCTTGTGAAGAGTTCTGCTCCGTCAGCCCATCCTTCAGGATAATTCTCAGTGCGTGCATGCGGTGGGGTGTGTGTGTTTGTGTGTTTATGTTCTGATCCTCCTGGTGTCCTTCCCTCTGCAGAGTTGGAGGTGAAGAAGAATGTTTTAGGACATCAGGGAATCTACTTGTTTAGCTGCTGCTTCTAGAAATAGGACCAGATTTCTCAGACCTGGTTTTAGGAAATCTCAGAATATGTCTACCAATTTCAAGTATCTGGCAATCCTCAAATTTTTTTATAAACCAAGTGAAATTCAGTACTTAAGCAGTACATGTCATATTTCAAATAAATACTGTTTTTGTTAATTTTAGTCACGTTTTACTTTAAGAAAATACATATTAGTTATGACAGTTATAGGGAAAGTATGACAAAAAGATTAATATGCAATTATAAGACCAGGCTAATTTCCATGCCTTCTCAGAGGTTTAACATCCTTAATTGCCTGGGATCGCAGGGGCCCCCATGGCTCCACTGTGCATTGCAAAGGCCTGATTGCTTCTCCCAAGAGGTATAACCTGGATACAGAGCTGACTGCTTGGCATTTCCCCCTACCTCAGAGTCCTGTGTGCCGGTCATAACTCTGCTGGTTTTTCTTTCAGAGCCATGGCCTCCCCTGCTGCCCGGGACCAGTTTTTACGTCAGATGGAACAGATTGTGGAAGGAATTAAGCAAAGTAGAATGAAGGTCAGATGGCTTCTTTTCTGTAATATAGCCCAGGTTTTATAGTGGTGACAGGGAAAGTCCTGGGAAGAACAGGTCTCTTCTGGTAGCTGGGGAGTGTGCCCTCAATCCTGAAAAGACACATTTCTACAGAGGGATTCCCACCATGCGTCTTACTCTGCAGTGGGCAGGGCCTGTCCCATGAGCTGCCTACACCCAGGGGTTCAGAAGTTGCTATTAGCAGCAGCTCCCATGTATTGAACACCTATTGTGTACCAAGCATTGTGCTGACATTCCTGAAAGACCTCTGAAGTGAACAGTATCACACTCATTTTACAGATGAGGAGACCACCTTTCACCAGCAGGCTTCCGCTCTTGACTGGATTCGCTTCCTCGGGGGATCTGCGGTACCTGACATTCTGCCACAAGAGATTCATTCCTTAGGAATCTTAAGATCTTGAGAACATTTTAGTTTTCAGGAACCCCCCTCTAAAAAAGAGAAATCATTGCTGAACTGAGTTCTGCCAAAGTGAGAGGAAATGGAGCCTCAGAAGTCTGAAGCAAACAGAGAGGCACCACTCAGTCAGGGTACAGCATGAGGTTTTCCTACAGAGACAGCTGCAGTTTCCTACCGCCATTCTCAGATGAATCCTAACTCGTACTTCCAAATATCTCTTGCTTATGGTCCTGTTTTAAAAATGTATCACACCAAAGTGGTTCTCCGACATGGCGGTAAAATCTTCTAGGGACGTCGGGTTTCTCCTCTTATGATCTTGGGGCAAAGGGCTCCAGTGAGTGATGCCAGAATATAAACACAAGAAAAAGAAAGAATTGTCCATAGGTCCTGTCATCATAAAAAAAACCCTGTTACAGAAGACAAACGTTCAAGTTGCCTGTAATCTCATCTCACAAGAGATGAGCTAAGGGCAGAAGTGTTCCATGTCCCTTTCCCTGTAGAAAAATACCATGAATCTCTCTGTGAATGACTTCAATAAAACAATGTCAAAGGAGGAAAAAAAAGTATCACTAGTAATAAGCACGATTTCTCGGACTATTCAGCCATCAAAATTAGAACGACATAAGTCAGTGCTTGCCTGTATATGCGCACTCACCCAAGCCAGGATAGGCTGTCTTGCAGAGAGCGAATGCAGTCCCCTCTCAGTGACCTGGGATGTGAGTAGGTGGAAAGCAGAGAACCTGGCTGACCAAAAGCCTGTGACAGCCCAGGTGTCAGTGTGTTAGACGCTTCCTCCATTCTTTTGCTCCTCAGGAAGCTGCTGTGGTTCATAGTCAAGAAGAACAGGAATTCGTGGGTTCTTTCCTTTGACTTCTGCTTCCTGTTTACAGAGAGCAGTGTAAACAGGAAGCGGAAACCAAAGGAAAGAACCCCATGAATTCCTGTTGTTGACTATGAGCCAGAGCAGAAGAAGAAATGGGCCTCACCCCTTCACTCTCTTCACTTTCCCCCAGGCTTCATGCTCTTGGCCCCTCAGGGCTGACCAGTGTGGAAACCAGGTGCTGCTGTATCTGTCTCTCCCCTCCGTGGTGGGTGCCAAATGGGTCAATGGCACCCAGGGCAGAGTGGGCTCTCTTTCTCTGGTCTGCATCCCCAGTGGCTGATGTAGCACCTAACCCATGGTTAGGCCCTCAAGGACTATTTGTTGAATGGGTGAATTCTTTCAATGGAGTCAAAGAGCAGTTGTCAAAGAGGGTTCCAGATACACTTCGAATGTTGAATGTTGATTGACACTCTGGATGGAACAGCACTCACTTGCATGGATGTGTTTTATTGTGTGTGTTTGTTTTCTGTTTTTTGTTTTTTTTAAATGTAGCTTTCCCTGTAACAGTGCCATAATGGGTCCTGCTCTCATAGATGTGGCAGGGGAGTCTGTGTCCTCTCAAGCACAAGTTTCTCAGAACCAGCAGGTTCAGAGTGTTACATAGCAGACCAGCATTGGGTAACAATGATTGAATAGGTGTTTATGCCCCGTCTAAGGGTTTCTGAGTAAAGAAGAGGTCACAGATCAGTCAGCATTTTGACCTCACTCAGAGGAGGTAAAGTCTCTGGATCTCTGGAATACTGTGAGCAAGTGCTTGGCACAAGCACTTCACAGACCTAGGGTGTGAATAGGTGATAAGTAGGGAATAACAAAGTTACGTTTGGGTAAGGGGACACTGAGAAGAGTGTGCAAATGAAGCTTAGATCAAAGATTCAACTCCTGCTTCTCAGAGTGAGTTGGCATCCTAGGATGTGAAATGTTAAGAAGAAAAACTGTCTTTGTTGAGCAGCTACTATGGACCAGATGATGGATCATTCACTTAATATTTAATGTCACAAGCTTCTCATAACAAAACTGGTGCTCTAGGTGATATTCTTATTTTAGCTAAAGGACCTGGCATTCAAAAAAGTTCAATTAGCTGTCCAAGGATACACAGTGAGTGGCAGAACTAGGATTTGAACCCAGCCTTTCTGGCCTCAAGCTCATATTATTTCTAGGTTGCCACAGTAACTCCCACAGTGGATCCTGGATAAATTCATAATTCAAACGGATTGCTACCTCACTAGGACATAATCAGTTATGGTGAAGTGTTTTGCTAAAGCACAGAGCAGAGAGGAAGGTCCTGAGATAAGAGCTGCTGGCTGTCCTAATAAGAGAGAGGGACCTAGCTGTGAGGTCCTATCCAGCACAGCGGAAAAGGTGTCTGCTGCTTTGAGAGTTGGAGCCCACGAAGGAACAGTAGTGGGAGCTGTGGTGGGCTGGTGTGTCACTGTGACAGGATCGTGAGTGGGTGTGAGAGACCCATGGAGGCAGCATTAGGGGTTCCGTCAACAGTGGATCAAGACTTGCTGCTGAGCCAGGGCTCCAAGTGTAGTAGGACACCAGCCAAGGACCCCAGAGGGGACTGCCCACTCTGGGAGACCTGGGCACAAGAGGGCACCAAACTGGAGACCTAGTATGGGTGTGTACCAGGCATCTGTATGCAGACCTGTGGAAAGAGCAGGGCACAGGGTCTTAGGACTCAGGAACTAGATGCAAGGTCAGGATTTAACCAGGCAAATCAGTCCCCATATGTGATGGGTCTTTCTCTGAACAGCATTGGGGTAGGCCTTGGGGACACCAAGTTGCATTTGTCCTATGCAGTCAACAGAGGCCTATAGTGTGGAGGGAACTACTGAATAAAATGCAGCCAGTTTACCTGTAGCTTGTGTTTACCAAATCCCTTCCAAAGTGTAACACAGAAATCACGGTCAGACATCAGCAAAGCCATGGCAAAGCATCTCTCAGAATTTGATTCAACAAGCTTTTGAGCACCAGCCATGAGTCAGGCACCCGGTCTGTACCGTAACTCTTTCTGCCCTCGTTTCCTGGCTGATGCTCTGGGTTTACCTTCTGGACATATAGCACATAGCATTGCCAGCCTTGCTCTAGTGTCCTCAGCCTCCCTGAGCTTCCAGGCTGAGGAGGCCATGCACCCACCGTCCTCTCCATCACCTCCTCCCATGTCATTTTCCTCACAGGACTGATCAGTGTTGGGAATATTTTGTGTGTCTATTTGTCAGGGTGGTTGCTTAATGTGAATCTCTACAATGTACGCTCTGTGGGAGCAGTGACTTTGCCATGTTCACCCTACGTGTAGCTACTCAGTAGATTCTAAGTCAATATTTGTTGAATGAATAAGCTTTTGGGTACCTTAGAAAAGTCTCTTTAAATCAAAGCCTAGCATCTATTTATGAGATCTAAATCCTGAAAATACCCTAAATTGTCTACCAGTAGAAAGATGGGTAAGTTAGCAATCAGCAGGAACATTGTGTTGTTTTTAAAATGATAATTTGTAGAAAGTTTGTAATGACATGGAAATACTTACATTAAATCAAAAGAGGATACACAGTTTTATTATATGAGCACAGTTATTTAAATCAAGGTTTCTCAGCCTCAGCACAGTTAACATTTTGGGCCAGATAATTCTTTGCTGTGCGGTGTCCTGTGCACTGTAGGATGTTTAGCAGCGTTGCTGGCCTCTACCCAGTGATACCAGTAGCACCCACTCCTCACAGTTGTGACAATCAAAACTGTCTCCAGACACTGCCAGGTGGGGAGTGGGGGGTCAAAATAGCTCCCAGTTGAGAATCACCAACCTGTCCATTGTGAAATTGTAGTGAGAAAAAAAAATGGAAACAGTTAATACTCAGTGATAGAAAAATTGCTGAATAAATTGTAGAGCCTCCATGTAATATCATGCAAATAAATTAACCAACCTCAAAAATTATATCTTGAAGCTTCCTTTGCTGGGAGGAAATCCACGAAACTGTTAACAACTGTTGCCTTTTGGATGTTGCCAGCAGCCCTTGGGCAGAACGTGTCTTTTCATCACCATTTCCCACAATGTTTCAACAGATGGAAAAGAAAAAGCAAGAGAACAAAATGAGAAGAGACCAGTTGAACGACCAGTACTTGGAGCTGTTAGAAAAGCAGAGGCTATACTTTAAGACTGTGAAAGAGTTCAAGGAGGTAAGAGGAAGGCTGGGCAGCACATTAAGGCTAACGTGAGATATATGTTCACCTCAAAAGTAGCCACTAAAAAACAGTAGTTTTTTGGTTTTCCTTTGGTCTGTGAAGGGAAATAACAAGACAGAGTGTGATCTGGCAGTGAAGTGTGGCGTCTAGGTAGCTGAAGATTGCGTTTTTCTGTGGCCCATCTTGAGGTCTAATTAAATGTTTCAAGACATCACATCATTTTAGTTTTCCTAACACTTAGTAAGCACATTAAACTCACAAAATGACTCCATCAGTCCATATCAAGGGCCACCTGGAAACAGCATTTGTTGTGGATTCAGATATAGAATCTCCTCTCCTGCCAATCTTAGGGTAGGGAGGGACCTCAAGAAACTGTGTGGGAAGAGAGAACTTTGAAGTGTCACAGGTTTGGATTCGAATCCTACATTTACCACTTACCAGCTGTGTACTTTGGTAATGACCTAATTCCTCACAGCCTCAGTTTCCTCATTTGGTGGGTTCCGTTGGGTCAGATGCGAAATTTGGAACATCCAGCACCTGGTCTGGCATCTCCTAACACCCAACACTCAAGTCAATTTTGGTTTTCCCTGTTTTTCCTTCCTGCATTTGGGCAGTTACTCTTCATTGTTCCAGAAAGAAAAGTGCCTGCCCTTAAGAGATTTTTCCAAAAAGACTTCATTTTGTCCCTTGCTAGGGTCTCAGCAGCTTTATTTTAAGGAATTCCTTCTCCCTAACCTAAATCCATGTGGTTTCAGTGAGTTTAGAGACTGCTGAAAATACAGCAGAGTTAAAGGTAGGTTGTATCCTGGTGTTTGGTCTGCAGAATAAAAAATGTAGTCTTCCCATGCTCATAATTTTGTTCTTATTTTAAGACTTTTCTTTCTTCCTTCCTCATCTTTCCCTTCTCTTCTACATCTTTTTTGTGATTTAACTTCTGGAAGCCACATCCCATAGGCATTTCAAAATCTCATCTTTTCCAGTGTTCCAGCTCCTACTATACCCCTGGACAGATGCCAGGTTGTAACGCAGACCTCCCCCTCCTTAAGGAGCATACGCTGTGGTGGGAGAGATGGATGACAAGCTAAGAACAAGTCATAACAAATAAGTAGTAACAATTCCAGACTTTGCCGTGTGAGGAGACTGGTTTAGGTGGTGTGGTCCGGGAGGGCCCTCTAGGGTGAGCAGGACATAGCCATGGGAAGAAAGAGTTCTTCAGCCATAGCAGTGCAGGAATGGGGAACGGAGGGTCTGCGGCTCAGTCTGGGACTCCTTTGAGGCTAGCACAGACTGAAGCTGAGGTCCCAGAAGGGCCAGTGAGCAAACTGGCAGGGAACAATTAGGAATTTGCTGCCCTACTCAGAGCTCCTCCTTCCCTTTAATCAAAACTCACAAAAGGAGAATTGCATCTCAGATTTTGCTTGGAGACACCCTTTTGACAGTGTAGAAACAAAAAGCCAGTAAGTTGAGGAGGATAAGTATAAGCTGTCAAAGCAATTGACAATGAAGTGGAAAAGCTCATTCTCGCCCAGCAGGCTCTCAGGTAAGAGCTTAGGATGACCTCCGAAGCACCAGTTCCTTCAGAGGTGTTAAGTGGCTTGGGTCTGAGTTCCCACCTGTGCTGGCAGTCATTGTCACACCAGACACAGAGGGTGGTTCCTTCAGAGCCAGCTAAGACACCTAGACCAGATTCTTGCCGGGCCTCTTTCCCTGAGTCCAAAGCAAGTCAGAAGAGGGGGAGGGGATGAAATATGTTCTTACATATTTCATTTAAATATATTTCACCGCACATTTAGCATGTCCTTTTTTGGTGTTAAAATTGTCTTAGAAAATAATTGTGATGGTGGGTAGTCCTTTTTTTTTTTTTTTGAACATTTTACTTGGCAAAAATTTAAAATTGGCAACCACATGTCAGTGTTCCAGCATCTTAAACTTTCTCCCACAAGCTCCTGCGAGGTAATTTGGGGCCACCACAGGTGTTGAGGAGGAGGTGATGATAGGGACTTGCTTGCTACTCCACAGCCTCTACCCTATATCTTGAGCCAGACTAGTTCTGCTGCTTTTCTGTTTTATATATTACAGTTTAATTTGGACTTTCCTCCAGGGTGGAGCCTTCTCCCAGCACCCTCTATTTTGCCTTCTCACCATCCCCTCACTGGTTTTTGCGTTCTAAATTCTCACTGCATCCTGGGCCCAAGTACTTGTAGTGTGCCATAATTATTCTTCATGGAAAACACAACATTATTGTCTACGAGATGGTTTTTTGCCGGCTTTTTTGCCAGCTTAGCGGTTGCCTTCGTTGGGTTTGGTTTACCCCATGTTAAATGGGCAACAGTGATGCACCATGGGCACCATTTAGGTACCAAGTCATGCCTGCATCCTGACTCCCAGCCTCCTCTGGTTTCAGAAGCTTCTTCATTAGAGACATTGGGTTTTCTCTAAAATCCCGTTGACTTACCCTGAGAGAGCTGATTAATTGTAAGTCTGCCAGGAAACAACATGTACTCTGACATCACCTTAATCACAGTATTAAGTGAATTGTGTCTCTAAGCCACAGTTTCATCGGGTCATGAAACTAAGATTTAAATTCAATAGCACTGATGAATTCAAACCCTACATTTTTGTGAAACTGGCTTTGGGTACATAACCTTCAGTGAACTTAGCTCTCTGTCTGGCACCTAGTGGGCCTGGATAGAGTTTTCAGCAGGAAAGAGACTGAGGTGATGAGACATTCCCTTTTCTTCTAGAAACAAACAGCCAAAGCGCCTCTTTTATATTTGCTTTGAAGAGACGGAGACTATGATTCTGTAGGCTCACATACTAGGTGACATTGTAGGCGGTCTCTACCGAAAAGTATAAGCATCGCCTAGTGTGCTGTGACACACACAGTTCCCCATGGTAGAGTTCGGATGCTTCTGGGTTGTTTTTGCCTCATTTAAATGGTGAGGTGGTTGTCAGTTTAAACTTAGTTACTCTTTTATATTTTTGTTATGGAAATCTTCAAAAATACACAAGTAGAGAGTGTAGTATAACAACATAATAGTGTAGCTCTCTGTTCTTGTTCCATCTCTTCCCCTCCATTTGTTTTAAGCTGGAGTCTTTTTTCCCTCAAGTACATCTCAATCCATTTTAAAAAGGAAAACTTTGTTATTTTCTAAAAGAAAATAACATGTGACCCAGCATCACCTTATTTCTGTCACCCCCACCGCCCTCCCCATGAACTGCCTCTCTCTCCCCAAAAAGGTGCTGAAAAGTGTCAGAGCGCCTTGCTTCTGACAGCCTCAAAGTCTTCAGCCTTACCACCAAGGCAAGCACCCACCTGTTTCCTTGTTCCCTGAGTGAAAGATACCTCTGAATCCTATAGATGAGCCAGCACTAGCCTTAGCTAAACCAAGGTCATTGTGGTCATGCTGCCATCACACCGCCAAAAGATCAGGGCCTCCAGAGAGCTGAGAGCACCTGACCCTGGCCCAGGGAGGTGGAAAAATTGACCATGGGGGTTTTGAGTGCAGTAGGTTCAAGGGTAGAAGTTTTTCTCCCACAATAAATGCACCTCCAGGAAAACACGGACCCTGGAGGCCTGACCACTGTCAAGCCTGTGAGCTCTACCTCTCCAGGCCCTTTCTGCTACCACTTTTATGTCCCAATTTAAAAGCAGGACTCCTTGTGACCCTGCCCAGAGAATGGGGTTGGAGTTATTGGAGGTTTGCTAGCAGATGGAGGTATCCTGAGCTACTAAGGCCAGTGGAACAAGGGCAGGAGGTGCAGTTAGAAGCTTTTGAAGATGACCCAAGAAGGGAACATGAAATGAGGCAGAGGTGACTTGTGCCACTGGATGTCAGATTCTACAGGCAGAGGATGGGGCAGTGACCTCCCTTAATGATAACCCGTAGCACACACCATTGATTTCATACAGCTTGGTTTTAAGGAAGGGCGAGTTTCCTTTTTTTTTTTTTTTTGAGACGAAGTCTCGCTCTGTCACCCAGGCTGGAGTGCAGTGACACAATCTTGGCTCGCTGCAAGCTCCGCCTCCTGGGTTCACGCCATCCTCCTGCCTCAGCCACCCGAGTAGCTGGGACTGCAGATGGCCGCCACCAGGCCCAGCTAATTTTTTGTATTTTTAGTAGAGACGGGGTTTCATCGTGTTAGCCAGGATGGTCTCAATCTCCTGACCTCGTGATCCGCCCGCCTTGGCCTCCCAAAGTGCTGGGATTACAGGCGTGAGCCACCGCGCCCGGCCCCATTATCTCTTGATGAATATCTTTTATCCTATTTTCTGAGTTTCTTAAAGACAAGAATATTCTTAACCTTCACTGTTGTTAGAACTCTATGTGTTTTGCCTGCTATGTAAAGTAGGGCTCCCTTTTCTCTCTTTTTACGCTGCTGTCTCCAAAGCCTTTCCCCACTCACTCACCATAGTACGCCAAGACTGGCAGATAAGTGTGCTTTCTGCTTCCATCCCCTTGACGTTTCATAGACTTCATGAAGTCTTTAGGAATGACAGTGCCTATCCTCTCATCCTGTTTTCAGTCTGACAGCCCAGAAATGGAGCATCATTATAGTTATTTTGGTGTTGATGTCATAGGTCATCAGGAAGCTTCACCATGCTGGCGGCAGCATGCCAAGAGACTAGGTTGGCCAGGAGATGTCTCCCATAGGGATATGGGAAGGGCACTGAGACCATCTTGGCCTCACATGGGCGCTAATGTAGTCACCACTCTCTCTATACTCTGCTTCTCCTCCAGGAGGGCCGCAAGAATGAGATGCTGCTGTCCAAGGTGAAAGCGAAGGCCTCCTGAACATCCCCAGCCATGGTTGTATGTCATTGATTTTACTTTTAAGCACCGTGTATCAACTACAAGATCATGCAATGGTTCTGAAAGCGACAGTAGAGAGATGCAGGTGTAATGGTTTCCACAACCTGGATGTTTTCTTTCTCCTCTTTGCTTCCATTCATCTCTGTTGGCTGCTGTTGATGGAATCAGACCGTAAACATGTGGCTTGGATAACACCCGTCATCCTGTGAAGAATGTCGGCAGTACTTTTCTCTGTTGATCAACTTTTATGTCTCCAGTAACATTGCACTTACAAAGGTACCTGTATTTGTGTGGACTCTGAATAAAGAAGAATTCATTTGTTTAGCAAGTATTAATTGAGCACCCACTGAGAAATAAGCACTGAGGAAGATTCAGAGACATGTAAAACAGAGTTCCTACTGCACAGGCACCCAGCAGGTGGCCCAGGGAGGCAGATACACAGCACACTTGACCACAGAACTGGACCATCTGAGATGTTTTTCAGTAAACAGAAGGCATGTAGCTGAAATGATCAGCCCATGTAGTGTTGGTCACTTGGGCCTTTCACCTGCCATGGTACCTTTTGTTCCCAGCTCCTCCAGGTGCCAACCAGCAGGCTTGGTGACAGCAACTGGAATGAAAATTCGGTGTCGTTTTAATTTTTATACGTTACTCAGGTTTATTTCTCAGAAAATTGAAAACAGACCTTGTGCTGAGGACACTTCAATAAAAATTACACCTTCCCCTGCCCCAATGTTCATTTGAGTCACAGCATGCAGAGGGGCTATGCATCCCCCTCATTGAAGGCACATTCGGTGAGGCTACACTGCAGATGGGTCATGATCTGAGCCAGGAGAGAGAGAGAGACACTGTTCCCTGCACTCAAGGCAAGTAGGGTGTCAGGAGGAAGAGCAGTGGGGTTTGCAGAGATCCAGGGAAACTTCCTGGAGGAGGCAGCATTTGGGCCCAATCTAAAGGGAGAATCGGATGTTGACAGGCAGGAAGATTGTTTTAAATGAAAATACGCTATGATTAAAAACCCAAGAGGATGCAGAGGAGTGCAAGGCATGCGTGTTGGGAAAGGAGGGGATAAACTGGTCTCTTCAGGAGGCTTCAGAGACCCATCTAGGAAGTAGGGCTGAGACTAGACTTTGGAGGGCCTTGGAAGGGCAGCTGATGGTTGACTTTAATCCTTGGAAATAACCAGTGCAGATCAGACACGGAGCGCCTGCTGCCCTGGTCCTCAGGAGTCTGGTAACTCAGTCACGTTCAGTAGGTTTGTGCTCCATTCTGCATAAATCTTGCAAACATACCAGGCGGCAGGTTTGCACAGTAAGCTTGACACAAAAGCTTAAACATGTCAAGCAACTGGAGCATTCAGCAGCCACAGAAATGTGTTCATTTTTAGTTCCCTAATGGATGTGATTAAGCAGGGCCGACATGTACAGATTTAAAAACACACACACGTGCTAGATTAAAAACAGCCACTGGTTTCAGTGCCAGGGCCAGCAAGGCCTGCCTGAGCCAGGGGGAAGCAGCAGCTTGCAAATAGAAACTGCCATGTGAGGGCGCTTCTTGGGCCATGTGCAGCTCCGCCTCAGCTGGGCCCTGAGCCGCAGTCATGTGGGGGTTTTGAAGGGCTGGGTGAAGTTGAAGCAGTAATTGCAAAAGAACCGGTGGCACTTTGAGGGCAGGGGAAGGAGACAGAATTTTGACTGCGTTTGAAATTATTTCAGTCAGGGAAACATCTGCGTTATCTTGTTAAGCAGCTTGTAGGCCCACCCCTGGCTAACTGAACTTTGTGAGCAGTTGGGGCAGTTATTCGAATATTTGTCCACAGATGGTAGGGAGGCAGATGACATTTTGGGGTTACTGGAGTCCACCTCTGTGCTGATGGGGAAAGTACGGCATGATTAATCCAAAGCAGCCAGTAATTCTTTTTGAAAGTGCAGGCATTTATTTTGAGCTGTGTTTCATTTGGTTTGGTTTTGGTATAGAGAGGTGTCCATAGATCTCTATTCCCTTTTTTTTTTTTATCCACAAGGCCTACTACGGATGAATCAGTTTCTGTTGCCTGCCTGAATACACTTTGAATTAGACTACAGAAGCCAGTTTGAGCTCAGATTTCACACTTGCTGCAGGCAACCCTCAGTGTGGACAGTGTCTTCTGAGTAATTAGGATATGACTTTATAGTGAAGCCATACAGGCTAAGGAGATGCCCCAAGGCCCCTGATCATTTCAGAAACCACCTGGAGAGCCAGAAGGGGTCTTCCCAGGGCTATGGCTCTCTGTATGCCTAGACATAGTGTGGCATTATGCTCTAAGCCCACAGGCTTCTCCAGAGTTAAAAGGAAGCCAGAACATCCTTAAGTTACTTTTTTAAAATGTGCGCTTCAGGAGGAACCAGGTTTCCCCAGGAGGGACAGGCGCCCTGCTCAGTCAGCACAGGGAGTTGCTAGCGGGCAGGCTGCACAGTGCTGTGGAATCTCCGCCAGCCTCTGGGTTGGGGGCTCCTTCCCACTACGTGCTTCTTAAGGAGTGCATGGGACTGCTCTGCTTAAGCCGCAATCAGAGCTGTTGTGAGCAGGACAAGATTGGGTGATCGCAAAGTGCGTGGGGAGATGCTAGGACATTTTTTGATATCTTTGACCTGTGCTCTGTCTCTACTGGATGACTGGGGTTAGCTAACACCACTAGAGGGAGATGCAGAGTGTTAAACAGTCGTCAGAGTCACGCTGAGGGGTTTTTTAACAGAGGGCAAATTCCCAGTTTGTCAAGCGTATCTCTGTTAGAGTCTGAAGTTCATCGTTTTAATGGTTCTAGCTCGTAGCCCTTACATATTTTCAGGATAGCTGGGTCCTGCCAGTGTCCACTGAGTCTGTCAGCACAACCAGAAGGCCCGGGCATGGGAAGCATTCTCTGACAACACCGAGCCCTTGGGACCTCCTGAAACGTTGAGCAGAGGCTGGAGAAGCCTTCAGACCGTCCTTTCACTACCTCACCAAGTGTCATGCCTGGGACCTCAGACCTCAGGGTTGTGACGTCGATGTCAGGCCCAAGTCACGTCTCTAGTGACCGAAGCAGACCTGCCTGAAAGGGTACTCTGAACAGTGAGCCCTGGCCATAACCTGTGCCCTCAGATTTCTGCTGCCTCAGATGGTCTTGTTCGCCCACTCTGTAGGTGACTGATGATCACCCTAAATGGGAGGTAGGCATCTAACAGTAGCACAGTTACTTTGAGCCTGACCCCTTGCTCTGAAGTGCAGATGCTGAGTTGAAATATGCACTGAGGAAGAACACTTTAAGGAAGCACTTTATGATTTACTCATGGCTGGTGTTGGCCTCAAGGTAAAAGAACATCTTAATGCAGAACAGTACAACAAAGTGCCCCATAGGATGGGTGCCATCGTCTGTCCCCGTGGTTGGGATTCCCAAGGAAAGTGCCTTGTTCCGTGCATCTTCAGAATCCCCCATGGCCTCTCTTGATCCTTTTCATGAAGTCCAGGGCATTCCTTCTATGACAGGCTGAAGATGCATTGTAAAAGGTAGTGCTATAGTAGTATTCCCTCTTCTCACAATAAATGTGCAAAACTCCTGGAGGATTTGGTGCCCGATCTGCAGCATACTTGACAACACAGGGAATACCGTGGATGCTCCACACCAGCCTTACATCCGTCCCCCAAATGTGCCGAACTCATGCCTGCCCAAGGCCACCGGGCCTGGCCCTGGGCAACAAAAGGAAGGGCCTGTCTTACCACAGTCTCCCCAGCATCTAGCTCAGGGTAGATGACTGACTGGGAAACTCCAGTTGGATAAAATGGCTTTTCCACATGGCAACTTTGCATCTCTATTAGCAAAATTTAGATTGAACCTCTCCTCTACTTGATGCTTAGTTTGAGGACAGGTAAACAGTTCTCACAGCTTTAGAGGGTCTTAGAGTGTGTTATACAGTAACCTTGAAGTTTGAGATGAAACAAGGTGTCACAGCTTTTGAATCTTTCAAAGGAATTGCCTTTTACAGATTTTTTTTTTTAATTCCCCAAGAAGGGAAAAAGAGAGGGAAGAACTACAGTAATGTTAGAGATAAGGTATGTTTCGGCTCAAAATGTGTCATGAATCTAAAGGTAACTTGATGGGTAGAAAGGTCTCAGCCATGTGAACCAGGAAGTGGGAGCACAGTGCAAGGCTGTGGGTGGCAGCACTAGATACAGTGGTGGCAGGAGTGTGACACGTAGGCACTCCATGGGGGACAGCCAGTGTCTGTCAAAAGTGCAAATGCATCAGCTTTTTGAACTAAGAATTGTACCTGTGTACGAGGGTTTTTGTTGAAACACTATATAGCAATAAGTTGGAGAGTGCCACCAGTATAGGGGAATGCTTAAATACATTATGACCAGCTTAAACAATGGAATAGTTTGCAGAATAATAGCAATAAGTTGGAGAGTGCCACCAGTATAGGGGAATGCTTAAATACATTATGACCAGCTTAAACAATGGAATAGTTTGCAGAAACTTAAAACAGTGGATCCTGTGTGTGTGTACTACCATAGAATGGTCCCCAAGATGCATGATTAAGTGGGGGTAAAAAGAAGCCCATGGTATCTTAATGTTTGGAATGGAGAAAAATGTGTAGATGTATGTGTGTGCGTATGTTTTCACACAGACATATACACATGTATATCATATGTCTGCCTGCATATGCCTAGGATTTCTCTGGGAGGATACCCAGCAACCCGGCAGCCTGATTGCCTCTGGGAAGAGGGGTGGGAATGACTTTTCAATGTACACCTTTTGTACCTTTTGAATTTTGTACCATGTACATGTATTATCTATTAAAAAAATAGTTTTTAATTTTTAATTTGGTTTACTTTTCTTAAAACAATAGAACCAAAATGGAAGAAAATTCTGATTCACTAAATCTGCTTTCTTAAAGATAAAGCCTTTGATTCAAAAGTAGTGAGACTCTTTCTTGGGTCTTGAGGCAGTGGGCCATACAAAGGGGGGTGTCCTTTTCCGGTAGAACAGAATGGGGCAGCGAAGCAGAGGCTGGCTCTCCTCACACTCTGGGAGCATGTTGGGTCAGCAGAGGGAGGGATGGGGACGGGGAAATGGATGGTGACATGACTAATCCCTGGGACAGATGGGCTGCTGCAGGGTTCCCTCCATCTCACAAACATCACAGTGCAACCCTGGTCCTCTGACTTTTGGGGCACAAAAGATAGGCATACCTCTGAGTCATGATTCCAGGGGGGCTGTTAATATCCTCCCGAAGCCGTGCCCATCTCGTGTGGAAACCTGCTGTGGGTGATCCTCCACCCCTGCCACCTTTTAAAAACCAACACAACTCTGGTTTTGTCCAGCTCCGAGGTGGCTGTGTGTCAGCCCCAGGAGAGGAACATGACAGCCGTTCCAGTCAGGAATCTTACTTCTGTTGGCCAACTGCTGGTTTGCGGATGGTTTGCGGATGGATGTCTAAGCCAGTTATGGCCAGTTTAGGGGAGACTGCTGAACTTCTTGGAAAGATTTCACCCATCTTGAGACCATGAAAAGAGACATCCCAACGCACTGAGGTTGGCAGAGGGAAAAGGTGGAAAGAGCCTGGCTCTCCGAAGGCATGACAAGCCTCTCAGCCACGCTGCGGCCCACCTGCTTCCATATTCTTGTTCCATGAGAAAAATGAACCTCTGTTAGCCTGTGCATTCGACCAACAAATACTTGAGTTTCTTCTACGTGTCAGGCCCTGAGAAT